ATATTTCTATTTACCAAAAAAATGCATACGTAAGAAATTCTCAATATACATAAATGCTTTTGAGAAAAAATTATAAATAAAATAGAAATTAACATTAATGTTAACCTGAAGACCCACGACCACAAAAATATGAAGAAACACAAGCTTAATAAAAAGTATTGTTATTAAGTTGTGTAACTTCTTACAAATTAATTATATTTTTACATGTGCGATTGCAGAAAGTGACAAAAAACGCAAATAGAAAACATTCCAAAGGAACGCTAACAAGACATAACAAGTATAATTAATAAGCGCTTACAATTTTCAAAGAAAAATATTATGAACTGTGTGACAAAGTTCAGAAAAAGTGAACAATCGAATGAGCTTAAATTATATAATCATTAAGTGTCGAACTAAAATAAACAAATTATATATACACGTGTGTACAGAAATATTTTGCAGTTCTAAACAAATCGGCATACTAAAGACAATACAACAACACAAGCCGCTAATCGGCAGCTACGATCTGTCAAGCTAATGCAAAGTCAMAGAAAAAATTGCCAATTCAACGCGCACAAATAAGGAAAAAGGTGATAGCAAAGCCGCACCACGCAGATAGACTTCAGAGCCGGAAGAAAAAACCAAAAAGAAAAACAAAAAAACATAAACATAAATAAAAAATTGCCAATCGCTACTTAAATCAACACAGTCAGCTGTCTACGTCTACGTAAGGCTATGCGCAGCAGCTGAGTGTAACTGTAAACAATTATTAAAGTTACATATAAAAAATAGAAATTGAAGCGCTGCCCAAAGCGCTTCGTATATTCACCTAACAAACAGCGTTCAACATGCGCGCCTTCCAACGCGGCTTTTTCTGTTCGGATCTCACGCTGCGCTATCCGTACCGCGAGTGCACGATCACCATACCGATGTTATTGATCTACACGCTGCTACTGCCGATGCTCTTCATCAGCGTTGTGGAGATAATGCGCATCTGCAARTGCTTTCGCCTGCGCAAATACATAACGAATTTGGCGCGCAGCTTATCGATCTTTAGTTTYGGTTTCATTGCCACCTATCTGACRACGGAGCTGGCGAAGAATGTAGTGGGTCGCTTGCGTCCACACTTCTACACCGCCTGTCAACCGCGCTTACCGGACGGCAGCTCCTGCGAGAGCGCGTACCAGCAGCTGGTCGGCGGCGGCGTCTATGTGGAGCATTACTACTGTGCAAATCGCAATCTGAGCGCGCGACAGTTGCGCGAACTGCACGTATCCTTTCCGAGCGCGCACTCATCGCTCTCATTCTACGCCATGCTACTGCTGTGCTTCTATTTGCATGCGGTGTGGCGCGGACGCGGCACTACACGCGTATTGCGTCATATACTACAGTTCCTGTTGTTGTTGGTCGCCTGTTACATTGCGCTGAGTCGCGTGCGTGACTATTGGCATCACTGGTCTGATGTGTTGGCCGGCGCACTGCTCGGTGCTGTRTACGCCRTCTTGACGGCGGTGTATGTGGGACGCATGYTGCGGCAGGGCTTCGCAGATGCGGCATCAACGCACAAGCACAAGAAACATCAGTATAAGTTGGGTGGTAAACAGCAGTTGAAGCAGCTGGCGCATGCACACCAACATCATCATACACATCAGCTGTCAACATCGCAGCATAGACTGGCGCCGCATGACGCGCGCAGTGGACGCATGTTGCTGGTGGCAGCCAGCGGTAGTGTCAGCAATTTACAACAGCAGCAGTTGTTGTCAACAGCGCACGAGGAACTGGAGAAGCAGCAGTTGCACGAGCAAGTGGTTAAAGAGCATTTAATGGAGCGCGGCAGTATTGGTGGTGTTGGCGGCGGCGGCGGCGGTGATTGTGAGTGGAAGCTGCAGGCGGTTGTGTTGCCAACGTAAATTGCCARCAAAGCGTCATGGGATCGGGCGCGCAAGCACGCGCTGGAATGAGGCAGGCGTGCTACGGTGCAGTTGACGGCGGARCAAATCTGTAAATACAACACATAACGGCACAAGCGGTGATAAGACGAGAGGAGAGCGTCACTGCAGAGAGCTCGGTGCACATTATAAGGAGGGAACAGAAAAGCGAAGCGATAGTAAACTGATTCGACGCGCTGGAAACGCATAATGTACATACAAGTGTGAACAAGTAGGAGAGGATTGGCGCTGACATTAATGTGGTAAAAATTGTAAAGGGGTTTTGTTGCCCCTTCAAGAAGTTGCATTGTCAATTCATTAAAATTTTAACGCGCGCATGCAATGTAAACCCTTTTTCTTTAGAAAATTTTAATTATGGCGCCCTACCCCCCTTAACGCGATGCCTTTGTATACTGGAACACAAAAGCGCGCATATCATATGCCATACCGCACAACAACAACAAGCGACAGCAATAATAGCCTTGCACTGCCTGTACGTAATTATTGGCCATGCAACAACGAACTTACCGAAAAACAACAAAAAAGTAAATAATTTTTCATCAAAAGGCAAAAATGCGCYATTGTGCAACAAAAAGTGGCAAAAGTCGMACAGCAACCAAATGGTAATGCAACAATTGGCTATGTGAGCAAAGCTTCAATTTCGACTGAATATGGCAACATTGGCAAGCGTGACAGCGCTGGCGTGTTGGCAGCGGCCGCATGCCTTTCTGGTAGCATGCCGCAACCACGCTTAGCTGCTAGTGAGTCACCAACGACTATATAAATGAACACATATACAACTACATGTATGTGTGTGTGTATTTGTGCACTTTCATATGCTTAGCGCTCGCTGTTGGAGTTTGTTCCCCTTTGGCTGTGTGGCGGCAACAACACATTATGAAAATAAGTAGCAGCAAGCGCTAGAGCAACAACAACAACAGAGACACTAAAATAATAACAAAAACAGYAACAAAAACGAAGGCAGGCAATAAGGAACAAAAGTAAGGCGCGCGCTTACAAGTGTGAATAACAACAACGATAACAGTTAAGGCAAGCAATCTGGCGGCAGCACAGCGTGCAGCGACGGCGCAAATAAGCAAAAGACAAGCACAGTTTTGTAATACTTAATATGTATGCGCGTGTATGTTTGTAGAAAATATTGCAATAATGAGGCAGCTGCCAAAGCGCAGCTTTTTAGTATAAAAAAACATATATGTATATACATATATACATATATATATGAATATATGTACGCCTAGCTTAAGTAGCTGCATTCGCATGCACCTAGCACTATCTTTAAGCAGCTCACACACATATTTTCATCAATATGTATATGTATGCATGCACACACCCGCACAGCCATCAATCAATCGCTCAATCAACGCGAACATATAAATTTTAATGAATTATATCCTCATAACTTATTTGCTAAACTACTTAAGTACCTTTGACTTCCTTTAAGCGCTGACTAACTATATGCACATATACTTGTGTGTCTGTATGTATGTATTTTTAAGCGGCTAGGCATAAATTTAGCGTGCGAGCACATTATGCAATAAATAAGCATGAAAGTCAAGGAAAAAAAACCTTTCTTCGGCTGCATAAATTAAAAAGTGTAGTAAAAATTGTACTTATCTTGATTTGAAAAAAAGAAGAAAATTGAAAAGAATTGTGAAAATAATAAAATTGTATGTCTTTTTTTTCTATTTTTTCTTGTTATGTTAGGCTTTATGGTTTGTATGCTGAAATATTGTGATATGGAAACTCAACTAGGTGCGTCATGAGACATCCACCTAACTTACTCAGCTATTATAAAATTACTCACTTATGTTATATGATTTATTGTTCGATCACCGAAATTCCTGAAACTTAAAAATAATTTTTTTTTTTTTTTTTTAAATTTTTTAAAACTTGAAACTTTTTTATGCCAAAATGCCATAAGTTCAGTTTTGTAAATTAAAAAAAAATATATTTATATTAAATATTTCAAAATTATTTAAAATTATATATCTTCAAATTCAAAATCATACTCATTTGGGAAAAAATAGTAAGACTTTGTAATTTAAATTTCGTGTGTAAAAACATTCGTGCCAAATGTCACATCAAAATAATCATTAGTGTTTAGTAAACGTTTGTCTTTCTGAGGCACATAAACAGCATTCGACTCCAGGATGTCATGAAACGTACAACTACTGTCGTTGAGTCTTCAATTTATGCTTACGACCCGGAAACAGATGATCAATTGACCATGGCACCACATGAAGACTTCCAACTTCAACGTGTTCCCCTGATCTGGCCCCACCAGCATCTATTTCCTGATCTAAGAGCTTAAAAACGTCCTCGTTTTTTAATTTATCGAAGAATTTCTTTTACTATGACAGTACGGGTAGAGTAAGGAATCCAGTTGTCAAAGGTGGAGAAAAATAAGGTGGAAACATCAAGGCGCTGTCTCCTCCTGTGTAGTTGGAAGGTATCTAGCCGAGGTCTGTCATTTACTTTGGGTGTTTGTTGTTCTTCAATAGCACAGAACTCAGATGGGAAGTCTTACTATGGATAGGGGTACAAAGGCTGGACTTATATACCAACACCTTATCAACTTCCCCCTTCCAAGGTATATTAAGATATGACTGCCTTCAAACTCTAAATTCCTTTCTCAGAATCTTTTGAATTCAGGATATCGCTTCAAATTCAAGGCGCATCGAAAACTAATTTGATTACCAATTTTTATATATTTTTTTTTTTTTTTGTCAAAAACTCTGTGACGTCCGTTTATGAGAAATTTCTATGTATACATATGTGAATTAAATTTCGTTGAATTTTCATAAAACTTCAAGGAATGAAGCATTTTCTACCTATTTTTTCATAAAATTTGCGTCTACTTTAAAGTCATTCAATGGTAAAACCCTTTCCAACAGCATTTTCTTACTATCTGGAATCTTGTCACTGTATGCAAGAGACAATGATAATTGCTGTCGAAGCATACAAAAAAATACAAAAAAATGTCGAGCCAGAGATTGAGTAGCAGTTATATGAACTTTTGAAACAAATACTTGTTTTTATGAACTTTTGGAACAGTAATTTCTTTTTATGAACTTTTGAAACAGTTTAGAGAAATAAATTATAGAATGTGGCGCCATGTGGGCTTCATACGGCTTATGATGTTTTCCAGTGGAGATACGGAACTGACTGGGACCGCAGAGGTATTTTAAAGCAATACCTGCCGATAGTAACAACAAAAATATCGAGATAAACATCAAGGATTCATGTATACGGCAACTTTTTCATTATATGCAAGAGATAATAATAATGGCAGTCGAAATGAGCTTAAGATTTTCCAAAGTGCGATACAGCAGCAGCTTTATGAACTTTTGGAACGGAGATTTCTGTAAATAACGGTATGAGAAGCTTTATGAATTTTATGATGTTTTTCAGTGCAGAAACTGAACTGACTTAGACTCGGAATGAAAATGTCAATATCAAAAACAGAATTTTCTCATTGTGAGAAACATTTTCATTATATGTAAAAGATAGTTATACCGTCGTCTTTTTATGAACTTTTGGAACACTTTATTAGAGTAAGAACAGAAAGAGTAGTAACAAGAGCTTTATGCTTTCCATGAGATTTTCCAGTGCAGGAACTGATTTTACTGATACTGGTAGGATTTTAAAATGTTATCTTCCGATAGTTGCAATGTGGTGATTAAATTAAGAGGTTTACTTTCAAAAATTTCGCTTCAAAAATATAGCAAAAATTCATTTGCCTGACCATTAGTGTTTCATCGCTCCCAAAAGCTATATAATAAAATAATTTAAATAAATTAGAAGAGCATCACAAATAACTAAGCACAGCACATATTATAGAGAACTCATATTTTTTTGGAAATATAGGCTTATCATACATTTAATCCTAAAAGTACTGGTTTACGGAAACCAATAAAATAGTGCAACCCGTCATACCAATCGGAGTTAAAGAAAATATTTACTTTTGTGGTTAGTAATCGTAATGTGGAGCTTCATTACTTACTGAGAAATTTAACTGGTTTTCTACAACACGTATAAGTCCAAGTAGCTACAGCTTCGCCTAGTCTCACTCTACTCTCTTTAYTCACGGTATCGAAGTATCGAATAATTTTGAATTTTTTATATGTATATGTATGTAAAGCTCGAAAAATGCATGTGAGCACTCGTGTGTGTAGTAATGGTGTAACCGCTTGATTTGACATTGTCTCTATGCCAACGACAAATAAGTGAATTGCCTATGTGGAAGGCAAAATCTCATATGTATAGATATCTATAAAGAATTGTAACTTGGAAAGGCATACATACATGTCTAAATATACTGTATATATATGTACATATGTATAGATATACCCATGCTCCTTTGATTGTGCCAAAACCTTTTGGCCAAAAGCAGGCGTCCTAACTCGCTTCGACACGTACGGATCATCGTCTGCCATTGTGTTTGATTTGCCTAAATGCATTTGTATTCGTAAATATATGTGTGTCTACTCTACACATACGAAAATATGTATGTGMGTACGCGCTATTTTGAAGAATGTGAATTTAACGAATCATGAAATACGATAATTGAAGCATGCAGTGTACCATTGTTGARTGGAATAATAAAATCACCCGCCCAACAACAGCAACAATGCTGCATGCCACACAAGAACAGAAGAACAGCTAGAGAATAAATTCAAGTTAGTATAGTTGGGAAAGTTAGGACAACAACCAAGGGCACTAACTGACTTAGCTCTGCCGACAACTACAAAACTACASAAATATGAGTGAATTGCTGCTGTATGCGTGAGCACGTGCGTCAGCTTAAGGTGAGGTGTGGTGAGTGAGTGCCAAGAAATTGCTGCGAAAATTTTCGGTTAWAGAATTTGTGTTCTTCACGCCGGCTTCGGAAAAGTTTCGGCCCAACAGACGCATTGTTCATCGGCGTTGTTTAGCTAGCATAGAGWGCCGAGATGGAAAGAGAAGGTGAAGGCGATGAAAAATACGCAGGGAAGCTAATGTGTGTGTGTGTGTGCGGCAGGTTGTCCGGAAGTGTCGACACAGGAGGTAGTGTTGTACTATTGAATTAGTTGTAGGTGGCAAATGTAAAATGAAATTGTATKCGGAGTTTTTTTCGGCTAGTCGCTCGGCGAATCGGTCGCAATGTTTAGCAATTTGTGCCGCACAAAGGGCATAAGTCGCGAGGGTAACGAGTTCGAAAAGTTGCGAAACTAGTTTGCAAAGTCACTTGCGAAAATTCACTTTTATGCCTAAGTTTGTTGCAAAGTGAGATTGCATAAATTAAAAAGGTGTGCAAATTGTTTGTCGGAATAGTGCAGGAATGAGGTMTATCCTCGAACTTATGGGGTCTTTTGAAAATTCTTTTGTGCTTGTCTATTTTTTGTTGCGAACAGCTCTTTCGAAGTCGCAGATTTGACTTTCAGTTTTTGTTATTGCTTGCCAGTGATTTTGAGATGATTTTCGGTGGGAAAAATTTTCTATGCGGTAAGTCTAATTTACAGTTGGCTACTCTATTCGATTTGAGATGTATTCATGAAATTGCTTCAC